ATAACTAGATATTTTATTAGTATAATATATAATAGATAAATACAGAGCTAAGTATATACTAAAGTTAGTTTAGAATAATAACCTAGCCTTAGAAATAAGACTAATAGGAAGAGGGTATTATATTATAAATAAAGACCTCTATCAGGCTATATAAAGTTATATATAATATAGAGCCTTATAGAGGCTATAATTAATAAACTATAACTTATTACTTAGATAGAGTAATAGATAAGTAATAAGTAAGTAATAACTTTAGTATATATATATATTTATTTTATTAGTTAGAATACTCTTTCAGATAGTTATTAATAAAGTTATAATCTCCTAGTAATATTATCTATATATCTATTATTACTAGTTCTATAATACTTATATATTAATAGTAACTTATATTATACAGCCTATAATAACCTAATTATACTACTCAGAATAATACTCTAATTAGTTTAACTCTAACTTACCCTAGACCAGGTCCAGTATAAATTACCTAACTATTATAAAAACTTATTTTCTATAGCTATAAATAATATATCTATACTAAATATTTAAAGATTATATTAATATTTAAACTATAGAAGATTAAAAAAAGTATATAATAGAGGTTTCTAAATAATAAAAAATTATTTAAATCTAAAAGTTTAAAGAAAAAAGAAAAAAAGAAAAAACTATTATAGGATTATAAAGCCTTATAAAGATCTTATATAAGCTAATTAGAGTATAATAGCTTATTTCTATTATATATAGAAAGTAGTATTATAAGGGTAAAATTAGATATATTATAAAAGAAAAGTTAGAATACTTTTATCTTACTTATAGTTATAGAATTAATTTTAATTATAGTTTTAATTAAAAAGAACCCTATAAATAGTATATTTAAGCCTATAAGATAATAGTACTAAAGTAATTAAATACTATTTAAAGAGATAATAAAAGCTATATAAATTAAACCTCCTAATAATATAAGGATTTAGTTAAAGTTAGAAGGGTAAATAGCTTTAACTAGAGGGTATATTATATAATATAAGATTATATAGGGTTATTCTATAGAAAGCTAATTAATCTATAAGTTATAATCTCTATTAATCTGAATAGTATATTAATTAGAGCTAGAGATCTTAAATAATACTTTCTAGAAGTAGGAAAATAACCTCAGATAAGAAAATAGTAGTTTCTTTATATAGGGAGAATAACTTCTTTTTATTTATAAGAATATATAGTTTTTCTAGGCTCTGAAATTCCTTTATTAGAAGGGCCTATATAACGTGTAATATATATAGCTCTCTTATCTAGCTCAGTTATTAAGATTGGAATCGAAGTTCGGTTGCTTCTCCATCTCTCTGAACTGTCCGATGGGATCAATTGAGTCCGCAATTTGTTGATCTTTCTGGCTACAATGTCTTCGTTATCCGAAGAAAAGTACCAGACTCAAAAGTCGCCTCACGATGTGTCACTAGAAGCTGGAGTCGATAGTCACGAGTCGCCTGCCGATAGCTATGTGGCCGACTCCCAGTCAGGAATTCTGGCGTCTCTGCGCAGATTCGAGGCGCGAATGGACACCATTCTTGGCGTAGAGTCCCATGCCATTGATCGCAAGACCGCCGCTGATAAGCGTCCGGTAAAGTAGCATGAAGAGCTGAGCATGGCTTTGCTTTGGGCGTCGGGAACCATGGGAATCAGTTGCTTCGCTACCGGCTTTCTGGGGTGGGAATTCCAACTGAGCCTCAAGCAGACGATTCCCATCATCATTTTCGCTTCCATCCTCGGTGGGGCTGTTTCCGCCTACTGCGCAACATTCAGCGCCGCGACTGGTCTCAGGCAGGTCTCCTTCTCGCGTTACAGCTTTGGCTGGTATCCAAACAAGCTCATTGCCTTCCTCAACGGCATCGAACAACTTGGATGGGCTGCTGTCGCAAGTATTTCTGGAGGTCTTGCTCTCACTGGTGTCGCTGACGGCCATATCTCGCTCGTGGGTGGTGTTATCATCATCGCCGTTGTCTCCCTTGTCATCAGTCTCCTTGGTCTCAAGTACATTCTTGTCTACGAGCGATATGCGTGGCTCATATACTTTGTTGTATTTCTCATCATATTCGGCATGGTAGGCCCCCATGCAGACGACACGACTCCGTCTCCCTTGACCGGTCTTGATCTATCCGGCAACGTGCTTTCACTGCTGGCCATCATCTACGGCAGCTCTGCGTCCTGGTCAACAATGGTGGGAGATTACTACGTCCACTACCCTGTCAACGTCTCGCGCTTCAAGGTATTCGCTCTCACGACCCTCGGCATTGCTATTCCGACATCTTTTGGTATGACCGCCGGCGCTGTCGTGGCCAGCTCTCTGAACAGCAATCAAGACTGGGCTGATGCCTATGAGCATCAAGGTATCGGGTTTCTGATCCGAGACATGTTGCATCCTCGAGGCTTCTCAAAATTCATTCTCGTGCTGCTTTCCTTTAGTGGTATCAATACAAACATCATCTCCCTCTACTCATCTGCTATTTCGTTTCAGCAGATGGCGCGCCCACTCGCCAACGTCCCCCGCTTCATCTGGACACTTCTGTGCTTCGGAGTCGTCATGGCCCTTGCGCTCGGTGGCCGCTCTGAGCTTAACACGTACCTGCAGGATTTCTTGAGCTTGCTAGGGTACTGGTGCACGAGCTACTTTGTTATCCTTTTGCTCGAGCACACCATTTTCCGCAAGCGAGACTTTTCGAACTACGACTTGGAAGGCTGGAATGATCCCAGCCGACTACCGCTGGGACTTGGAGCATCAGCAGCGTTCCTGGTGGGCGTCGTGGCGTGGTGCATGGGGATGGTCGAGACGTGGTTTGTTGGACCAGTGGGCGCCTTGATTGGAGCCGATGGCGGTGATATTGCCAACGAGTTTACACTAGTTGTCACAGCGGTCGTATACATTCCCGCTCGTTATCTGGAGCTCAAGTGGTTTGGACGGTAGTTGTCAAGAGAAACCAAGGTTACCTAGCTTCATCCGCTATATTGATAATAGTTTCGGTCAGACTCTTACAAAGCCCAGAATTCTAACTATTAAAAAAAAGGATCCACAATTGATTTAATTATGTTCTAATGATGGTATGCTTTCGGGGATGGTTATAATCTAGACTGCGGCTATAGCTTATCCATCGGTCAGCTCGTGTGGCATTTCACATCTCAAGTCCCCAATATTCGTGCCGGGCTGGTGCGCAAGCTCTATTCATGAAGACACAGAAAAGAAGATAACTTGTCTTAGCATTTACTCTCATCGCAAGGCTTTCCGAGGGAAAATTGATGAAATAGGAGTTTAGTTCAATCCGGCATGTATGAAACTCAGGATCAGCACTCAGGATTCACATACGTTGATTTAGTTTGGATTTCAAGCCAAAGCAGTAGGATCATCAACTGGGTTGGCTTTTATATAAGTAACAATCTTCGAATTGACTTGAGTATCACATAGTTGACTCAGTCCAGATATGCTGTGGGAAAAAATGTAAGAAAGTCCGGTAACGTATAGAATATAAACATTCTTCAAATAGGAGTGTTAGTGTAAGAGAGTACAGGAAATCGCGAAGACACTGGGTTCAAGCAAAATAATGGGAAAACTCTCTGTAATAGAGCCATGCCATACTTTCTCCTTTTTCAGCAGGTCACGCCATCATCTGCTGACTGTTGTTTGCAACAACCAACAACATGTCGCTTATTTGGACTTTCGAGCAGCAACCGCGAACGAAGGTTCCTCCTTGTGGAGTCAAACCTAATCTTGATAGTTAATTCATTGGCTATTATACCTTGTTCGTCACCACACGATGTTAGGTAACAACTGACCAGCCTTGCCCCTGCTAGTTAAACGGAGTTTGAAGTTCTTTCCGGTCGGCGGTGTAGTTACTATTTAAACCATAATCCCTCCTTGTCTTTGGAACAGTCATCTTTTAGTTTCTTTCACATCGTTCCTCGTAGGAGATTTTGAGGAGTGAACCCTAGCCCACGACAAAATGTCCCCAACACTGAAGACCCACCTCACCTCGCTGGAGAAGTCTGCCGTCAACCATCCCTCAGCTGCTGCACTCAAAATCCCTCATTGGGAAGAAGACGGTGTGTTTTGTGGTTGGAAAACAATCACATTCTCTCAATTCTTAAATGACGTCGAAAATGCGGCTAGATACTGGGCCAATGAACTTTTGCAGAGAGGCATAAAAGAAAGAGACATTGTAGGCGTCTGGTAAGTTTTTTCTTCGTAATTATCCCTTTTTCTTCTTCTATCTCTCTTACAGTGTTCTTAGGGTCAAAGGCGTATCTTATTTGGATGCTGTGCAAATTTGGGGTATCGCCAGAGCGGGATACATCCCCCAGTTAATTTCCCTACGTTTGACCCATCTCGACGTGGTTTATGATGTTCTCAAACTAGCGGGGGCGAAAGCGATAATCTTCGACTCTACATTCCTGCAAACAATGAAGGCGGATATAGTTGCACTTCCCGTCGTTAACACTCGCTCGATGAGCCTCGAGCACCTGCTACTACCACAGTTATGGGTTCCGTCTGAACAGAGTGATATTGTGATGATATACCATTCTTCTGGTACAACCTCAGGGAGGCCCAAAATAGTACCTTTGACTGCAAGATGGGTAGACCATGCCATTGAAAGTGTGGAACCCATCTTTAGGGGACTTGAGGGGCAACAAGTAGTAGCTAGCCAGTAAGTGGACGAAGCCGGTACTCTAGGCGGCACAGAGCTAACATGTGAGTGAAGTGGAAGTTTCTGTCACATTGCTGCGGCGATGTCTCTAATGGGATGGCACGACCTCGGGCATTGCGTGATTTTATCCAAAGATATCCCTCCCTCTCCGGCTGAACTTAAGTCTATGGTCAACGAATACGGATTGACGGTTCTGTTTCTTTTTTCCTCTTTCTTGTCAAAGAGTTTACGGGAGGCTCGCTCAGATCCAGAACTGCTACGTTCACTACAAAGCATACCATCGGTGCTTCACGGCGGTTTGGCTTTGAGTCCGGACGATGCCACCTGGGCACGCACAAATGATCTATATTTGAAAAATGTTTTTGCAAGTACCGAAGTCGGTCTTATGATGTTTGGTGTTGGAGGAAGTGGATCTGATGCTGGGTACCTTCAACCACCTCCTGGCGTAACATACAGATTTATTCCAGTCTCAGGTTCTTCGGCTGAAGGTCCGGGATCTGAGAATGCCCGCTCTGGAGAACAACTTCTCGAGCTAGTGGTTCCCTCAAAATCCAGAAACTGCCCGGATGAGTCACTCCGGACTAAGGAGACGGGAGACTTCCACACAGGAGACTTGTTTGCAGAACCCATACACGGTCACTTCCTATCCAGGGGTCGAAATGACGATTGGATCAAGATGGAGATTTCTCTCCGCTGTGACACAAAATCCATCGAAGGCAATGTTATGGAGCTTTGCGGCAAGGACCTTGTTAGCACGGCTGTTTGTCTAGGAACTGGACGTCCCTCGCCCGCGCTTCTGGTTGAACCTCTTCAAGAAAAAGATGGTGATGATTACTCAGCTTTGAAAGACGAGATTGTTCGCCGTATAAGACCTTTTCATGAACGAATGTATACTCATGAACGGATTGAAGATCCAAGATTTATAATTGCGTGTCCTAAAGGATCTTTACCTCGAACTTCGAAGGGAGGAGTTCCGAGAACAGTGGTGGAGAGAATTTATGAGAAGGCTCTAGATGAAATCTATGCTCGGAAGTAAAATGCAAGGCTTTATTCTGTCAATATGGCTCAAGTTACGATACCATACTCTCGATAGTGTATGATCAAGAAGGAATTTACCTACCTATACTCGTTGCCAGCCCCTGTATCGATTTGCAATCGATCCTACTTCTGGTGACTCACGAGTACTGACTTCGGTCAAATTAGTATCAGTAATCTCGTGATTTGTTACAGGGGTCGGTACGGCATTGATATTGACCATAACTTTGTAAGAGACAGCGGTATCCATATATCCTCGTATAGAATGTATAACGGTGATGAGAATGTACAGAGGTGGTTTCAAATGTATTTAATAGGCACAAACACGAGTTCCAATTCTAGTATATCTACTTTCTGACCCCCAGTATCTCGGTAAATTTCGGATCCTCTCATAAGATAGCATTACCTTATCTTACAGCCTTGCAAGAGCCGAATAATTGTCCTTTCTTTTCTTTCTTTTCGCCTTTTTAAAGAACGTTGGCCTCGATTCCTGCGGTGGAATAATACCCCTTAGGAGTACAACTGGCCGCGAAAGGGCATTCTTATATACGAGAGAAGCTTGTCTGTCTCATTTTACCATGCGAGTCAAGTGACTCAAGTCAAAGGATATTTTGAGATGAAGTTCCTGACTCGCATTAGGGTGATGGCCGGTGGATCTCACTTCGAATTTGGTGCCCAAACCCCACGTCTGCCGCTTGTATCCCACAGCCATTCAGATAATGGGAGTACTTGCGTCTGAACTAGCGAGAAAGCTAATAATGATTTAAGATTGTAGCGGTGGTGCTGCCTTTAGCTACCTAATGAACTATTGAACCACCCAGGCGCACTAGTAAGTGTTACCCCTGAGCGGAACACAGCCGATCCCTTATAAGATACCAATGGGACAAATGCCATTTTCTGGGGGCAAATTTCGTATTCTTGTTCAGCGTGTAGACTTTAGCTATTCATCATGCGTCTCAAGCTAATCTTGGCTTATGGAAGCATTGCTGCCATCTATGGGGTAGATGCACGCACGCGCTGCAAAACACGATCTCACACACATAGCCCAACACCCAGCCTAGAAACCTCACCGTCAGCTTCAGTTTCGACGCCCGAAAGCATGCTCAGTCCAAGCTCATCAGAGTCCACATCACTCACTTCAACACCATTGTCAACACCTTCATCGACACCTTCATCAATATATGTATCGACACCTACGTCGACGCCTTCGTCCAGTCTGGACGACACCACTTCTACCCCGGTCATTGTTACCTCTAGCTCATCTTCAGACACTTTAACAACACCTGCATTAAGCAGTACCCTAAGTACCGACAGCAGCGCTTCTCCGTCATCGAGTGCTATCGAATCTACATCTCTGCCAGTTACCTCGACTACAGCTGTTTCCACTACCAGTTCGACATCCTCTGCCCCTACATCGACGATTACTACCCCGGCTGAGGTATATACGGGCGGTTTCGCAACATTTTATTTCCAGAACGGTAGTCCTCCAGCCTGTGGCGGTCGGCCTCGCTCCGACAGCGAGCTGATCGTTGCATTGGATCTGAGGCGATACGGGTCCAATTATTCAACTCCGAGCCCGTATTGTTCCAAGGTGATTCGTGTCACGAACATGAATAATGGTCGGTCTGTTGACGTCACCGTCGTTGACGTGTGTCCAACTTGCCTGAACTCCAATTCCCTGGATTTGTCTCCGACCGCATTCCAGGCCATTGGCGACTTGAATGACGGAATGATTCCCATTGTGTGGCAGTTTGTTTGATAGTCTAATTGCGGCGAATGCAGGCTGGAGTCCAAAAGAGACATGAACTAGAAGCTCCAGCAAATATCTAATCAATAGTACGGAAGAGAAAGAGAACGAAGTTCAACAGCAATGAATCTGCCAGGGCCCGACAACTCAACTCAATGAAGAATATAATGCAATACCCACTGAGGGGTAAACGTCTACCTCATCAAAAGAATGGAATTATCATTATAAATCTGTACATATCAACCGTGCGTTGTGGCCAAATCAAACCAATAAATTTGGGCAGAAATTGATCTTGGACCCAATCTGCAACCAACAGCCCTTTAGTTGGTCTTTAAAAGCTTCGATGGGCTTCGTTCGATTCGGCTATTATTTTCCCATGTCTTTCCCATGTCGAAAATCCATAGATATGGTAAAGGACAAACGATATGACAAATCTTTCTGGTTTGGTTTATTGTTTGGTCCATCATTATTTCCTATACAGGGCAGAGGATGTATCAATCCGCGTAGTTGTTGGATTAGTGAGCGGATCTTAGTAATGCAGCGGAACGTTTTGTTCCGCTGACGGTGGCTGTAAACCCCTGTCGCCAGCTTCTCGAACGGATCATCGTGTTCCGCCTGTTGAGTATATCAAGCTTCAAGCTAATTGAAGTCACACCAGGCTTTTTGTTCATTGCTTCACGGAATAAGATCCTCACAGATTTTGATTCATCTCTTGAGCTTTTATTTAAAAAACCACTAGCCAACTTACCCTTACAACCCAAGAAACGACCTAACAACCATGTCTGAAGCTCTGTGGCCCGATGATGCTATGTTCGAACACTTTACTGTGTTTGAAGAGACGTAAGTCAAATTTCAGAGCTTGTTTGTTGCGCACGCTAACATTTTGTAGATTCAAAATTGTCGATAGCCACGAGATCCAAACTGCCATCCTGATCCCTGAAGGGCTGAAATCCGGCCCTCATCCGATTATAATTAACCTACATGGTGGATTCCTTGTGTACGGCCACTCTCTCTTCGCGCCGTTCTTCCCCCCATGGGCACTTAAGCTAGCTCTCGAGCATTCCGCCATTGTTGTGTCACCCGACCACCGCCTCCTCCCCTCTGCAAACGGTGTGGCGGATGTGTTGGAGGATCTTGAAAGCTTCTGGCAGTGGACGCGCTCCAGCCTCGCCGGTGTACTGAACGATCGAGCACCAAGTGTCTCCCTTGACTTCTCTCATCTGCTTGTGACGGGCGGATCAGCAGGCGGGTACCTCGCATCGCAGCTCGCATTGTCTCATCCAGATGAGATCTCAGCGGTTGCGATGGCATATCCCTTTGTTGATCCCAAAGATCGAGTCATAGTTGAAGGCCCTGCCCCCGGAGAGCCAAGCATCCTCCGCTTCAAAGTAGAAGATTTGCCATCGAAGGAATCTGTTGTGTCATGGATTGAAGAGACGAGGAAGACGCCTGCATCTAAAGCCGGAATGGACAGAACGCCATGGGCCGTTTCTGCTGCTCAGAATGGGATATATCACTCGCAGATTTTCGACAATCTCGGACTTGACCTCCCAGATTTCTATCCCCTGGAGAGAATCAAGCGCGGTGCTAAGCTACCGAAGAAGATGTGAGTGCGGTGAACGGCAGATTTCTCCTCGACATCCTATCACAGACAAGTGGGTGATGCTAACCGTTGTTTTCACAGATGGATATTGCATGGAGACGACGACAGCGTTGTCTACCTTCACACTTCCCGCAGCTTTGTTGCCCTGGCTCAAGAAGAGTTGCCCGAGACTACGATCAGGCTCGATATTGCCAAGGGGGAAGACCATGCATTCGATCTTCAGAAGACCTCTTGGGAATTGCACGCGATTGGTGGCTTGGACTTTGTCAAGGATGGTTGGCTTAAGAACTAGAATCGCGACCGAGGGATAGTTCGCCATTAGTCGGCTCTGTAGTTATTTGTGATTTCAATTTCAGATCTTTTAGAGTCAGAAAAAGCAACTCCGAATGCTATCGTTAGATATGATTGTTTATTTCCACGAAATAGGAAGCATTATTGGCAACGATGCTCCGGTTATTCGGTGTCTGGGTGTCACTATAAGTCCATCAGCAATACTGGGATTTCAAAGAATGACACGAAATGGTGGCTGTATGGCTTGATGTCCTCACTGGGAAGTCCGTGTCCAAAACATATCCTCCATCAATTCATACGGAATCATCTACAACCAAGGCTATCAAGGAGTACGAAGATTAGTACAAGTTGAATCGGGAGGTGATTAAGTCTGGTCGTACCACGAGGGCCATTACGCCAGAGAAAACTGATGGCTGTGTCTTCTACGGACAAGACTACGCCATTCGTCTTCGCTAAGGTTATCGCCACTTAAGATGTCTGTCATAAACATTGGTTAAATTTCATCCAGCAACTGGGTAGGGAGGAGTTAAAATATTTCACAATAAATATCTCTTCAGTATTAAATGAGGATTCATACTTGGTTAATTATCATGAGCTGTGTTACGTCGAGACTATTTTTCAAGCAGATCTATTGTTTACCCAGTATTATTTTTTTATTTCTGTTAGATTGTTGAAGATTTTGTAGGTAAGAGTTGAAGAAACTCTCATACTCCACTACCATGGATATTTCCTAATCTCATCCTCCTTTTCTAGATCCAGCCCTCTATCCAACTGTTCCTGGTGCTTGGCATCCAGGTACTCAAGCAGTACCTCACCGTACCTTTCTCTACCCTTGTATCTGGCCACCGAGTCATCCCAACTTCGGACCGCGCTCGCAAGTCGACCGGGGACATAGTCCTCACTAACCAACTCCGTCACGGGCAAGAAGTACGTGCGGATGGTGAAAACAACGCCTCCGGATTTGGGTAATCTACGGAGCGTCTGACGCTCAGATCGGAACCAGTGATGATCAATAGCCTTGTTCTTCTCGGCTGTGCTCCAGCTAATGCCGGGGGAATCCTCGTCGCCAATGCTATGACTCCAGGACAGGGAGTCGTCAACTTGCATGAAGTAGTTGTTGCGGCTGTAGAAATCATCGCACTTCAAGCGACGGAAGAACTTCATCATTCCAGACTCCAGCTTCTCTTTGAAGTGAGGGACGTCACCAGATGTGTGGATGTCCGAGAGAGTCATGCCGAACTTGTCGGAGAATCTCCAGAAGCCAGCAAGGAGAATGGCACCAGCGAGCAGGCGATATTGGCCATCCGGCTGCTCGATCATAATGGCGAGATCATCCTGCACGAGCCGTGCGCAGAGGGCCATGGGATCCTCTGCCAAGGGTCTCTCCACAATATTTATATCCTCGCCCGACCACTTGTTCTTGATACCGGTCGGAGTTCGCTCGTATAAGGTTGGGTAGCGATCGGGTAGGTAGTTCACCAACTCTTCAAGCAGTTCAATGGCGGCGGGGAAGGCATCAGGGTGTGTCTCGACACACTTGGACCCGCGCTCTTTGATGCGAATAGCCTTGTCAGCGTGGTATTTGGGGAAATCGCTGTCAAGCTCGATCCATTCCGTTGGATGGATTGTTCGGAGACCCATCGTGACGTGGTACTTGGGCCCGTAGCGGAAAGCCCTGTACGGCAAGGGTTTGGTGTCTTTGATGTCCCAGTTCGGGTAGGCTGGGACTGGAGGCATCTTGAAGTTCCGTGATTCCTCCACAGCCTTGACTGGGGAGAACTTCTCGGCTGCGGGGAGCTTCTCGAGCCGACCGGGGCTGCTCTCACGAACATGTTGGCGGCGGGCTTGGGGGGAGAGCCATTGGCGGTAGGCCACCACAGCTAAAGAGAGTAGGATAGCTATCACCGCCGGTGTGATAATAGTGCTCATCTTTGTGAAGTCGATCGGTAAAGCCATGGTGATAGTGGCCGGGATGATTTGGCGGCGGGGAAGGGAGGGGAAGGCGGGTGGTTGATTACTTTATTGGAATGATTGATAAGGGACTCTTTCATCGATACATGTATATCAGGTTCTGATTTATTTTATAACTCTGCCTAGTAGACCTAGGATCGAGCTCCTTGACTCAGGATGGGTGCAACGAGGATGTTTATTCTTTTGTAGACCTCTGGTCAAGTCTATACAGTCCCGCTCCTAGACTGCGACAAAGGAGTGGCCTCTTTCGGGACCAACGTCACCACCCTTCAGAGTGCCGGAATGAGACAAACTACGCTGACAGTACAGATCCTTCACCCATTGGTTATCGATAAGTAACCACAATGATCGTCGAGGTGGTATGTGCCAAATCCGGGCATACTTATCGTGGTAGCACTGAGCAGCAAGTTTATGCCTAAACAGGTAATGCTATCCGGTGTTATCATCATCTCCTCTTCCCCACAAAGTCTGCAGCCAATCTGAACCGGCCGATTCGCGAGGGAGCTTCTTTGGGCGCTAGCCGGCTCCGGGTGAGGGCGCTGAAAAGCGTAATCACAGTCGTCAGACACATCTCGTGGTCTCAGCAGGGTCAGATCCAGGCTGGAATCGACAATTAGATCCAGTCTATGCGGTGGTCTCACATTAACAACTGGAATAGGGAGGTATTCACGGGAGGGTCAGAGAAACCCAGATAGGGTTCCCATCCGAGCCGATCCTTGGAGTATTTTAGACCAGGGGTGTCTTCTTGCTAGATGAATCCTAGACCAGATCAACCTCAAATCTCATATATCATTCAAGAAACATTGTTCTCAAGTCTCTTCAATTAATCAACTCTCAAATTTGATATCATACACTCCTCTTACTCCTCGCCACCATGTCTTCTCCCGCCATGAAGGTCTTCCCCCAGGCCCAGTCCAAATACCAAATCCCGCTGCTCGCCGGCAACAACGCCTACCTGGGCGATGTCTTCTCCAGCGACAAGACAAACCCCGACAAGCCCATCTCCGCCGGCTTCTACCGCCTCAAGGAGGGCGAGCCCCTCACCTACACCTACAAGTACGACGAGATGAAGATCATCCTTGAGGGTGACTACACCATCTCAGACGAGACCGGCCAGAAGCACGTCGCCACACCGGGAGATGTCTTCTTCTTCCCCAAGGGTTCAACCATCACCTTCACCACGCAGAACGGTGGCCTGGCATTCTACGTCGGCCAGAGGAAGGAGAGCGACTTCTAAATAAATTGGCATATAGAATCAGCATTTTCAACAAAATGAATTAAAATTGTTAAATCATCACTTTCGTATAATATTCTGTAATGGGATATTCACTTCTCTCCCGCCCTTCTCCGTCAACACCATAAAAAAACAGTAGACCAATCGCTGCATCATTAAAATCATCGTAGTTAAAGACAGAATAATGAATCTTGAGAAATCCTAGATAATCCCACCCATTCCGACGCCTAGCTTCATTATCCATCAAAAGTGCAAGTCAAAACTAAAGGTCGTTCGTCAAAATTATCCAAAGTGTACAAATCGAATACATCTACCTAGCCAAAAAGCGACCGCAGATCCTGCGAATCCATCACATCAAACCAGTGCACAGAAGTAAATCCCGCAGGCTCGGCGTCATACGCGGCCCAGACGGCCTTCACCAGCTCCTTGGCCACCATGACCGGCCGCGGCTGCAGGGTGCTCTCCAGCAGGTCCAGCCGCTTCATGATGAAGGCGCGGGCGTTGGCGACCTCGAGTCCCATGCGCGATACAGCCTCCGGCGACGCCGGCTCCCCATTGCCCGACTTGTAGATCTGATCAATGTAGCCCAGGATGTCTGAGCTGTCGTCGAATGAGACACCCATCTCGATGTTCCTCGCGTCGGACGGTGAGAAGCCCGTCTTCTCCGTGTCGAAGTTCGCGCCGTACTCGTAGCGCAAGCCCGTGCTGGCACAAATATAGAGCATGGGCTGGATCACACGGCTCCCCGAGTCTGGCGGGACCTGTTCCAGCAGCTTCACGAGGCGCAGGGTGAGGGGGACAATCCACTTGTCCCAGGGCACAGGCCCGTTCCATGGGAACGCCGACTCCCTCGGCAGCCGCATGGACACGAGCTCGGGGAATGTCACGTAGAGCTGGAGTAATGACGCAAGCTGGTATGCCTCTGCCACGAATGTCAGGTGAAGCCACGGCGTCCGCTGGTCGCCGGTGTCGTTGAGGTCAGCCAAGGCAGCGAAAGGTGAGAATTCAAGCTCTAGAAGCTGTTCTTCAATCTTTTGGGCTTCCTCCAAGTCCTGCATGCCCGCTGGGAGATCCCGTAGTGAGCCGAGAGGCATGGATAGCTTTTTCCGGTACGCTCGGCAGAGTCCGATTGATTGCGAGAAAAGACGCTGCGTCCGGGACGACACGCCCGTCCAAGGATGAGGCAGCATGTCGATGATCCCCTCGCCTGTTGCTTCCTGAGGCTGCATCAATTCTTCGGACGGGCTCTCCAGCGTGTCTGTCGGATCCATATCATCCACCACCACGAGCAGCATCTCCCAGTAGAGGAGGCTCTTCTTGAAAAATGTCAATTGTTCCAGGTCCTCATTCCGTGTTGGCACAAATTGCTGCCGAAGGCGACAAAGAAGGAGCTTCGCTTCCTTCAGGAAAGGTAAGCCCATGCGCCCGGAGTCAAGCCAGCACACAGTCGTGCCCAGGCAAAAGAGAGAGAAGAGGAGGCCCGTAGGTATCGTATCCAACTGTGCCTTTGCTCTGATGGAGCGTGCCTCTGCCTGAATGCAGACCGTCGCCGTCCGCAAAAGATTCAGTGCAGACGGCCGCATCTGCGGTAACCGGGCGGCAAGAAAGCTGGCCGACATACTCTGTAGTGAATTGAAGACGGTGGCGGAGTTGTGCCACAGGTCCCCCGCGAGCTTCCGGTTCAGATTGCTGTCGGAGTCAAAGGCAGACCATGCTGGACATACCTGGTCAAACCAGCTGCTGATGAGCGTCAGCGTTGCGTCGGAACCGCCCATGGATATTCGTGGCGTCCGAGGAATTGGCTGGGGAAGTGCCACTGCCGGAGGAGGGGCAGCAGCAGGTATTGGAGGATTCCCTATCTTCAGGTTTGACAAGGACATCGCAGGCTCCATCTCAGCACCGAGCTGGGGCACCAAGCTCGTTTCGGAGCATGAGTCGGACATGAAGTCAAAGGCAAGGTTGGCGCCCAGTACCCAGGAAGAATCCTGTGAGGATTTATCCAGGGCTGAGAGCATTCCTAGCTCTTCGACATCCTCGTCAAGCTGGTACGGCAAGACTCGAGGGACCGACGATGCCCGGTCGGCACTGCCTATTATAATATCGGGAGCATTATCCAAAACGGCGTCGTCCTTGTTGTAGTCGAAGGAGAGATCGTCAAATTGGTTGTCTCTAGGCGGAGACTGCTCGTCGTCATCGAGGGCGTTGGGCTGGTGCTTGTAGGACCACTTGAAGCCCTTCCAGTAGCCTCCACATCGTAAACCCTTGTCGGTACATTTCTGGCAGCTTGGGCGCTTTTCGTCGCATTTGATCTGTAGTAGTAGGGGACACAGGTGTAAGCTTCAGGCCGTGGGACAGTCATCCGCATCTTGGGGAGGGGTAAAGGAAACGTTTCGTACATGTTTGGATTTACATGTGAGGCAGCCTGCCCGAGACCGTGACTTGGTTGGGGCACTCTGTCTCCGAGGGCGCCGCTTGTGGTCAGGGGTCGCTTGCTTGGTGGCCTCGGTCATGGTCGTTCACTCCCTGCGCAGTCGAGGGCTTCCGATAGCTGGCATGCAGGAGTACGATTTGATCAAGAGACCTCACGTATGCAGAAGCAGTCAGATCGGAGAGTCAATCTGGGGAATGACACTGGGTCTGCTCCTTGTGAGTGGACTCGGGGCCGGTGGAGAAGTACCAGCAGGCCTTATCAGTGGGTGTGGTGGGTCCTGGCCTCTGATTGGCTGGTCGGGAGTCGATTATCGCTTATACCCCGCATTGTAAAATGAGCCCTATGATTGGCCAGGACTTTCCTCGTCGCTGACTCGGGATTCCGCACGAGGGAGATAATGGTATTCCAGCCTGTTACTAATTAATGCCTAGCAGCGACACTGACAGAGATAAGAGCGCATGTTGGCATCCACCTGTGACCCCAAGCGGGCCGTTATCTCGATCTGCCTCCTTACTTCTTCCCCCTGGGCAACCCTTGCGGGCGCTGCTGTGCCCAGACCGTTGTGGCAGTGTTGTAATTTCGGGTAGCGAGGATCAGAAACAATCCTAGCCGTTTCCAACCATCTCTCTGCACGGTCCGACATCGCTATTTCTCACCAACGTCACCACCAAAAGTCCACGCTCTTCTTGCCCCTATCGGGTAAAAATTGGAGTAAAAAACGGTCACACCGCAAGTGCCGTGTCTCGCATCCAATTTTTCAATACAAAATTTACATTGAAACGTAATTAGTAATTTTAAATGCAATCTTGTGTAGCATCATGTTCAATGGGTATTCTAAATCGTCTCAAGGCTAATTCCTCGAGGTAATGTCTGTGCGATAAGTTGGGGAGTTATTTGTAGGTTTGTTAAAAACACCTTATCGCATCTTGTTCTTAAAAGTCCAAAACTGAAACAAAGAATAGGGGAAAATCAAAGAGCACCTCTAATAAGTCAGGGGAAAATAAATAAATTAGTTCACTGACGATGCTTGGCTTTACTGGATATACTCGTCATTCATGCCGAGACTGAGAAGTGATAGGGTATAGGGTAGGTTATGGAAGCTCGATATGTACTGGAGACACAACACGATATAGGTAGTAAAAATAGAAAAAGCACACCACATATCAAATATGGATAGATAGGAAATTTCAATTGAGGGAGTTAAGTAAATTAACCACGTATAGTAGAAAGAAACATCGCATCAGCCCTGATAGCTACCCTCACCATTGTCCTCCTCGCTGCCACTGTAGGGGACTGTCTGGCTGTCGGTTGGTAGATTTCCAACCAGTGCATTGCAATCGGGATGAGATTTGAGATGCTTCTTAATGGAACCCGCCTTTGGCAATATTGCTGAGCAGCCCATGCAGCGGCGTCTGGGGTCAGGTATGCCATTTGCCTTGGCCCATTTCTTGTGGTGAACGTAATAGTGCTCGTTCAACTCCTTCACAGATGCAAACGACTTGTCACAGATGACCCGGACCCCCTTGACAAAGGTTTCCCCGGTTTGACATGAGTGAGGGCGCTCGTGTGTATTGCGATGTCTCCTGTCGCATGGTTAGTGTCGAGTTTATTCAAGCCAGGCTTCTAGTTATTTTGAGGAAGACGTACGTTTCATCACGTCCCTTTTTGAACCATTTCCCACAACAAAACCTATATCCTTTGCGAGTGTTACCTAAAATCATTAACTTGAAGAATGTGTGCTCAGATTGTATGTCATACCTTCATAATCAGTCTTTGTGGGACTGATAGTGCCATCCGTTCCTCCATAGCACCCAGCCGCCCCAGAGGCCTGGGGATCACTTCCAGATGCATATGATGGATGCTGAGTCTAAGTCGCAGCATTTGGATCAGAGTGGCCCTGGATGGGTGAGAAGTAGTGCTGATACTGGCTAGAGTACTCAGCGGAAGCATAGACCTGACCGGCGGAGGGGAATGTCCCTCCTTGGGCGGGAACACCTTCAGTGTTGTTTTCGCCTTCATACGAGTATTCTTGATGCTGGGGGTATTGGGAAGAGGAGCCACCTGCCTGGGCATAGTAGGCGCTCCAATCATAATTGCCCCCAGAGTTATCGTAAGATCCCATCGTCAAGCTGTCTGGCCTGTTAGCACGTGTGCTTTGAGAAAGGTAGCTACTGAATGTATAGGCCTTACCAGAATGAGAAGCCCAAGGCCTGATGGTAGTAGCTCGTGAGTATAGAACCACGTACACAGATGAAATGAAAATCCTTGGAGGTTTTCTCTCGGTGGAAAGAGGTTTGATGGGAGGAAGCCGATGTAATATGGAAATCGATAGAAGCAGTGCTGTTGATGGAGGAGACAAATTCATGTCGGTTTTCTGGACGAGACGAGCTCAATTTATACTACTCCCGTCTATGAGCCCACCCAACTTTACTCTAATATGTTGGATGAGCGCATTGATTTTGCGAACCATATTGGTTAGCAAGGCGTTCTTGCGGGAGGCCAGCGAGGCCGCAACAATGGAACCTATGAGAAGCCATAAAGCTGACCTGCCTGACATTCATTACTCATTTTGCTTTTTCGAGCATGTAAAGGGCATTTTGAAGTTGGTCGACACACCTTGAATGACTGAATGCTTTGGGATGAGATGCGGAGAACTGGTTGGCCCCTTGCATGATGGCTTCCTTGATTGGCCTTGGCGCCTCAGTGTATGATCAAATCACGTCTCTCGGAGCAGTCAACGAAACAAAGAAAACCACGTGTCTTTTAACAGAGGATCAAGCGAGGGTAGGAGTGTCTAAGTTCATGTCGCATACTCGTTTAGGTTATGTATCACTTGACCGGCCTTGGTGAAGGCTAATTTTGTGCACTAATTTATTGGATGTGGTTGGGAGTAGCGCTTGAACTTTGACTCTAAGTCGGGGAATTGGACCTAGTTTCGCGGAATGGATGCATTTGAAGTACTGGAACGGGGAAATTATCAATTCTACGGATTTCATAACTTGATAAAAATCAATATGCGGGCTGGGCTAACAATTGTTGATGCTAATTTGTACGCCCAACGCAAATCGTCCGTGGAAGCCTAGCGACGGGAACCACCCCGAGTCTTGGCTCACAGTCGAGACAGCCTCTAAGGAGACATGACGCATTCTCAATTATCTCGAGCTATTCCTGGCCGAGTACATGAGTTGGAAAGCACCTTTGTGGGGGATAATCACGGCAGTTTGTCATATGCACGATGGGTGCTTCAAACGTGTCTGAGTTTGAGGGGGTTTAACATGTACACAGCACACCCAGTTATTGCCAAGCGTGTGCGACAGTTGCATTGTAATGTACCTGCGTGGATAGCTCAGGCCTGCGGTTCACGAGCTTTGTGCTACGAGATCTTAAGATCAGCCCTTTGATTGAGTTCCTACGGTGTAACAAGAGACCAATCTTAAAGATGTGCTAGGCACCCGGGAGTATTTTGAATGATCATCGCTGTCATCAGCAATCAAATGCCGCTGTAGATCTAGATTTCATTTCAAGCTTGGGTAACACGACATTGGCCATCGTGCTCCCACCATATACCCATTTCCCATAATGCCTTGAAGGTTTACAAATATTTTTCTTCCGTCCCTGGAATGAATCAAAACGATTTTCATGCCCTCATTTCGCATTTTTTGATGTGCGACCCTGGCTCATACAAGCAACCCCTGGAACTAACTACCTAACTAACTAAGCTGGTGCCTGTAATCAATCGCCTAGAGTCAGCGTATTCCATCAGCAGAATGCGAGTTTTGGCTCCATCATCCTCAATCAATCCAGTGTATCCAGCGCGACTAGTCAAATCCCCATCGTGCTCACCGTGCAGAGCGGAGGAGCAAGGCAAAAAAAAAAAGGGAATAGATGGTCGGGGTCCCGAGGAGCAAAGGATGCCATTTGTGCGTCAAGCGACGGGTCAAATGCGACGAGGCCAAGCCGCAATGCCACGCCTGTCTTCGATACGGCGCTGCGTGTCCCGGCTACGATCGCACCGTCAAATTTGTCAATGAGAAGCATCAAGTCCGCCCGCGAGTCAAGGCGAAAGCGCGAGGAACGAAGAATGATGTCTCTTCATCGCCATCATCCGGGTCGGGCGCTCCCTCCGTGGCGTCCGGGATGGAGGATGAATCTCCCACGACGCGGCCAGGAAACAACTCGCCATCTACAACCGTCGTGCTTTCTCCCACAGCGCTGTCTCCTACAATCGATCGCGCGCAGTTCATCTGCACCATGCTGGACACGCTCTACTTGACGGCAACACGCAACGAAATCAGCTTCCTCAACCCCTGGTTCGACGGCATCCAGGACCAGTTCGGTGCAAAGGCGACGCTGGACAGCGCCGCCGCTTCGCTCATCCTCCATATGCTCGGCAAGGCCAAAGGGGATACGCGACTAGTTGGCGAGAGTCGGTCCCTGTACGGGCAGTCGTTGATGGCCCTGCAGTCGGCCCTGAATCACAAGACGGAGTGGAAGGCGTCGGAGACTCTCAGCGCGTCCACGGTGTTGTGTCTTTTTGAGGTATTCCCGCTGGTTCTTCGTCGGTGTTTTCCCGCATGCTAACAGACTCGTGCGCCGTCTAGCTCTTCGCCGGTACAAAAAGTGCCGTCAGCTGGATGGAGCATGCGAAAGGAGTAACATGGCTCATCCAGCAGCGTGGGCCCGAGTGCTTTAAGGACGGATGGGATCGAGTGACGTTTAAAAACTTCCGGGCTCTGGTGGTATGAAGCTTCTCTTCTCGCATCGCCGCATTCAATCGTTCGAGTGTTGATATCGCATAGAGCTGTGTGCTGACTTTTGATTTCAATTAGATCATGAACTCGATATTTTCGGGGGAGGATTGTTTTCTGATCCAAGACAAGTGGCAGGACGTGATGTGGGATGGTTTGGTGGGCAGTGATCGGGGGATGCTGGTCGATGCTCTCACGGCGAAACGATCGAAGGTGGTGGACGGGTACTTTGTTCTACTGGCCAAGATCCCCAGTGTCCTGCGCCGCGCATATCCATTGCGTGAAGCCAGGAAAAAGGGATTGCCGGTTGATACGACTACTGTTGAACGTCTGAGTAGGTATGCCACTGGCGTATGCAGAGATTATCTTGCATGGGGGAACGAGATGAGGCAAATCGTCGCGGATCCGATCGATGTGCCCTCCCGTGATCCTAGGTCACCTTTCGCTACTGTATTCTGGTACGAAAACTCCTGGGTCGGGGCATTGCACATGGGTTACTGGGCGTCCATGCTCATTGTGCAAGAGTGCCTCCTACACTGCAACATGGCGAGCTTGGATGGGATCCGGTTTACCGACTCGATCCCAGACATGGCCAGTAAGATTCTCAGGTCGTTTGAGAACGTCGGCGGAGGCATCATGGGTGGCTACCGCGTCGGCTACGCCATGCGGGTGGTCTATGAATTCGTGGATCTACCCACACAGCTATGGATCACGTCCCTCCTGCAAGATTATGAAGGCACATACGCAGGGCTTCAAGCTCAAGTGTTCCCAACGCCAGAGCACGCCGAGGACAACGAGCTCCTGCCCAAGTGGCTGTCCCAGATACGCCCGGAGCTCTAGCAGGAAATGAGGAGTGTCTGGGAGGAGCCGGATAAGCGGCAATGGGGCCTGTCACTCACATCAGCTTCGTGGTATAAATCCTCATAGAGTTTAGCTTGATGACGAGCCACGGCAATCTCCCCTGCTAACCCGAAAGGGAGACCCATTCGATCCATTTGCTCCCAGTGTCGTGCGAGTGCGAGGCGGCTTGTCCGCGATCCCAGGCCATACAAGCCTCGCAGATCAACAAGCCACGCTTCGAGCGGGGCGTCAGCTTGCAATTTGAAGTGCCGGTTCCCGTGCTTCTCGCCAGGGAAGCGACCGCCTCGTGGTATAATACCCAAGAAGGGCAAGACTCCTGGGTTTGTGGAGCACATCAACCTGAGACCCTGCGGATCTTAGAGGCATCGCTCGTGGAATCTCACCCAACTCAGCCTTAGGGCCCTGGGGAAATGGGCCCGTAGATATTTCAAGTGCGCCTCTAGTCGAATGGCATTCCGTTTCCGATCATTGGAATGCTAGTACGTAGGGCTGTGCTCGAGAGGTGTCATTAATGAGGAATTAGGTTTGAGTTGATGAATACCAAATATTTAAACCCCTCGTCCCACTCGGTTTTTGAAGATGAAGAAAATCATCGAGTCAAACAACCTGTATCATCTACACCAGCTACCAGCAATCCGAGTAAATCGACTGGCCTACGCCGCCTCCTCTTTCCATCATGCTGGGCTCGCATACTTCATTGAGCATCGCTCAGATCGTCTTCTTCGTTCCTATTGTCTTTCTAGCGATATGGCTCGTGGTCCGCAATTGGTCAAAGCATCCTCGCATGGCCTGGTGGCCTATGGTACCTTTTAGCTTGAGTATGTTCAGCATCTGTCAACCACTCGCTTTGGTATAAGCGCCTAACACGCTTCTTTTGAACAGTGCGACTCGCAGGAGGTCCTATCGTCATCGCTCTCGGCAAAGACCCTTCGAACATTGGACTTATCGTAGCGGCCATCGTTCTCCTCAACGTCGGAACGATTCCTCTAATTGTTGCCATGTCCGGATTCTTTAGGATCATGTAAGTGTATATACACTCAAAGCATATTGATTTCATCCGACTAACAACGTCAAATAAAGCTTGATGGACAACTACCCTCCATCCAAACGTACCGTGGCCGCCCATAAGGTGCTCCGAATTGCAATCATCATCGCTACTGGCCTTCTTACCGGCGGCGGCAGTATCATCAGCCAAGACTCGCAGTCTACCCGCGATACCGGGCGTATCTTACAGCATGTAGGATACGCCATTTTCGCAGCCCTGATTGTCTTCTTCTTTGGCGCTCATGTTCGCTTCTACCGCATGAGGCACTCCTTGATCCCCACCAGCCGCAAGGTATGGCATCTTGCTCTCCTTCCTTTACAGGCCCATGCAGAGCAACGAGAACTAACACATTACTCGAATAGGTTAACTTGGCTGCCCTCGCCGCCCTCCCATTCTTGGCTCTCCGCTGCGTATACGGAATCCTGCAGGTGACCTATGAGTTCAACGCAGCCACCGTTTGGAACCCCG